TGCAAGAACATCATTCGATTCCACGGCATTTCTCAATTAGGCGGAAATCACGTGATGGTGTTTGATTGGGCGGAATATGGAACCTTGAAGCAAGTTTACGAGCGACAAGAGATTGACTGGAACAAGAAGCTCATCATCGCACGTGACATATGTAGTGGTCTTGTCTATTTACACGCCTGTCAGATCCTTCATCACGACATTCGTTGCGAGAGCATATTGGTAGATAACTGAGCTGCATCATCATACCGTTTATTCGGCACTTGAATTAATCATCAATTTTATCAGGTCGTTGATACGGCAGGAAGCTTGGATGCCAAGATCGCCAATTTTGACCTCAGTCGCGAAGAGAACGCACAGAGCCGCGAGATAAAATCACTTGCCGAATTGCTTCCTTGGTTAGCGCCGGAAAAGATGCGAAATAAAAGGATTCCTTATGATGTCAAATGTGAAACTTACAGGTAAAATTGGGGGAAGCGAAGTGTGTGGTCGGTATGGTTGTGACGCCCTGACCTTGCAACTTGATGTTAACACGTTTCAACAGTTTCGGGATGCTTCTCTGGGAGCTCTGTCACAGAAGGATACCATACGCCGCTTGGAAGGGTGATACGAACAGGATTCAAATGCACGTGTTAGATGGCAACCGGGAAGAAATAAAATTTGGACTCTGTACCGGTATTAAATCTTGTTTTAAAAAAATAATCGTAAAGGGTAAGTCGAATATTTTTATTTGTTTTTGATGCTCGAAACGGTTTCAATTAATTGGTTTGGTGTGAATGGATGAAGCTTGGAAAGATGATCCCATGACTCGACCGTTGCTGCAAGAAATATTATATGATTTACAAATTTTGTGCGAAAGATACTCTCCAACTTTGCCACCCCAACGACCCAACGACGAAGAATTATTCGAATCCCAGATGAATGTTAAAGAAGACCTCGATGATCTTGAGGATGACGAATTTGACGTAGATGAAATAGAGCCGATTATTTCACTGGAAGAAGGACTGCGAGCTCACCAGCAAAAGAAACATGACATAGCATGGAAGTGTTTTGATGCAAACGCAAAGCTTGGGAATTCGAGGGCAAAATACTGGAAAGGGTATTATTACCACGAGGGTTATCATGTAAAAGAGGATAAACGAAAGGCCATGGAACTTTTCAAGGAAGCAGCTGACGAGGGTGTGCACGAGGCGCAACTTCGTTATGCGTCCACCCTAATTAAATTGGATCCTACGGCCACGAAAGAATTTTTAGAATATCTGACTCGATCAGCAGTCAATGGGAACCCAACGGCTCGATTCAATTTAGGTAACGTTTATTATCAAGGAAAATTCGATATACCGGTGGACAAAAAGAAGGGACTCAAATATTTAAGGTTGGCCGCGGCCAGCGACCACCAGAAGGCCCTAAAAATGCTTCGAGACAATGACGAAGACATTAATGAATAATCGCAAACATTCTTGCATCTAACCTAGCACACAAATAGTCAGCCTTCATATGATAATAAATTAAAGCCGCTAATATTTTGTAACACGTAATTTTGGTCGAAGCATACTCCATAAGGGTAGGGCATTGCGATTTTAATTCCGATGATAAAGCAATTCCTTCTTTATTAGACCAAGGGTTGAATAAAAAAGGATCAGGCTTGAACGCTATCGGAGATCACCTGAGATAGCAGTTTAACCATTGTTTCGTGATCATGAAACAGAAACACGCACTCATCGACAGAATGATGAACGATCTAATAAAATTCTGACTATAAAATGCAATTGCATACATCCATCGCACAAAAGAAAGGAAATATTACTTTCATCATTGGAAAAGAGCAAGTGATTGGTGAATAAAGAAAAAATAAAGAGCGTGTTTCTTCTATGCCAAATTTTTGCGTTTTATGGACCTCAAAAAGTCTAGGGGGATCGTGAAAGAAAAAGATGAGACGACATAAACAAGATGAATGTCGGGACGAGTAAAAATCAATGTGTGTGCCTGCTGTCGAAAAGAGAATAAATGAAGATAATTTATTTGTCAATTATTATTGTTTTATCACATGATCGGGTTCTCATCTCGTAATTGGCTAATTCCGAGGTATTTGTTGTATTTGTTAATTGAGAAAGATTTCGACATGTGCCTACTCATTAATATTTGGTGCAAGAAAACGTGCTTCTCGAGAATGCCATTGGGAATCAAGGGGAGGAGTCTATTCACCACCCTCTTTTTTTTTTTAAAGATCACAAGAAGAAAGATACCAGTATCTTGTATTTGCATAGTATAAATGTTGGAAACAGTTAGGGATGAAAAGAATTCCTTCCCTTTCCGGCAGCCCAATCCCTAATTTTAAGGTGTACACTAACCATGATTTAATTTCCATTTCATCATGTATAAATAAATCATAAATTTCACTAGCACATAGTTGCGCAAATAAAAATATAAATTATCATCATACGTAATTGAGACGCCCAACTAATAGAACTTTGTATAAAGAATTGATGTTCATGTATTTTTTTCCTTTTCGGTATGTCTGTGATCGTATATATTTTAATTGAATAGCCCTATTGTACCTATGAAGAACTTTTTTTTTTTTCCTCGAGCCTTCAAACTTTGAAAAAAAAAAGGACATGTCCGCCGATTGTTTGCATATATATAACATTTGAGATAAAAAAAATTGGTTTCAAGGTAGTTATTTAAATCCCTCGCACCAGAGGAGAGCATTTTTTTTTTTATTTCTGTTGACAGGATAGAAATTAGTGATAAACTGTGTTTATCGAAATAAGCATTTTTTAACCTCGAACCTTTTTGTACAAACACTTGAAAAAAAAAAAAAACGCACGCACACATATATATATATCGGTTCACAAATATTTCACCCAAATTCAATTTCAAAAATCGTCAATTCTCTTCTTTTTTTTATTTTTTCATTCTGGACTTTGTTCAACATACACACTATCCGTTCGATATCTTGTTCGATATCTACACTCGTTGTATCATGAGTGTCTCGGTGGAATCTCCGCTATTCTCTAATAGGGTCGATGAAAATGTTCTATTGCGCAAATCTCCGGTACGTATTTTTTGATGTTCATGCTCTTCTCCTTGATTTGTTGTAGAACTATCGGGATGTGCGTAAGTTGATGAAGTCTCGGGAAGTTGTTATCCCACGAACTTACGATATTTATACATTGACATATACACATTGTGTCTGTCGTACCGGTTTTTTTTTTTTTTTTTTCACCCAAGGGCCTCTCGACTTGACATATTGTATACCTTACATGCATGTTAACCTTTTTTTTTTTTTTTTGCATCATCTCAAATTGTTCTACATAAATTCCGTGTTTTGATTAGAATCTCTAAAAAAAAAAAAAAAAAATTCAAAAATTCTCAGTCGACAATAAACATTTAGAATTTTCTACTCTAATTATTATGCCCATACGTACGTACGTACACACACCACATTACGATACAAGCGTCCCTAAAAAAAAAAACGTGCAATTTAAACAGATAACCGTTTACTATTTATTATATACGTCCGAACCCCCCTATATTATATTATTATATATACATTCTATATACATACAGTATATATACGGTATATACATGTATATGCAATTTCGTAATTTTGTACTCCACCCTCTCCTACACTTTCACCACCATCCACACTATTTACTGTTCTTATCCACCATCTATCTATCTTCTTTGCATCTACTTTCGAGAACCTGAGAACTTCAAAATTTACATACATTCCGTCGAACTATTTTGGTTTTATCACCTCTCAACCTGTTCTCACTTATAATACTTTATTTATTTTGCTTGCGTTCAACAGAGACAACGAAGACGATCGAACAGTTCAAGTGACATACTGGCACACGCAAACATA